AATGCAATTTGGCGAATCCTTCTCGCGGCCTTTCTCCCGACCAACAACAAAAGACAAATCATTCCCATTAATCCCGCACTCGTGGAATGTTTCATTACCAGTTACAAGCGGCACATTCGAACACTCCATATGTGCCCTCCTTTATAAGGATGGCATCTGGAGATGGAGATGGAATGGAGATGGAGTTGGGTGCTCTGCTTACTTTTAATTTGCCTGCCCTGCCTTATTACGTTCATTCATATGCAAATCGCTGGACTGTAACACAAGAAGCACAACAACAAAGCCGTGAAGAGGGAAAAGTCACTGGCGATGGAAAGCGAGTTGGAGCGGGAAAGGAGGCTGCTCTTATTGTTCGCTGCTCGCTCTGAGCGATTAAAAGAAAACTTTGGCAGACACTCAAAGAAATAAGTTAAGCATAACATAAATATTACAAGGATGTATACATCAACAAACAATAAGTATATGGAATAAAATTAGTTGAGGATTTTCTTTCAATATTTTATATTCAAATTTATTTTATAGATATTAAATGTAGAAACAATATATCTCTACATTTATTGTAGCTTTGAAAAATATAAAATATTAAAATATAAAATAATTTATAAACGTTTTTCTTGAGGTGCATTCTTAGCATGTGAGGCTGGATCGAAAAGCATCTTAAAAGAGTCTCGGGAGCAGCGGAGGATTTTCACCTCGTAACCCAAAAATGCGCCGGGGTTGGTGTTTGATGTGTTCCCCGTCTCCCACCCCGGCGGTAAGCCCATTGAAAGCGCCTTATGGGGTTGGTCCGCACTGTCTGACTGTACCTCTCATCCAGCCGAGTGCCACATCCCATATCCCATATCAAATTTAAACGAATCGCTTCCGCTTAGCGCGACTGCCCGGAGTTAGGGTTATGTGCATTATAATTTTCCGACATCAATTCGAAATCCGAATTGTATCGTTTCCATTTCCCCGTTTTCCCATTTTCCTATTCCCTGATTATTGTTTTGCATTTCCTTTGTTTGGCGAAACAATTAATGTTATTTGCATAGTTGGTGGGTTGCCCAAATGTTTTCGGATCGGATCGCCGGGATGGGAGGATGAGGTCCGCATGTGGTCCAATTTGGAACGTTTTGTATCTGAAGTCCCGCCTGCGGCTCTCCAACCTTTCTCCGTCCTCGTTAACTGGTCTTTTTGGCTTTGTCCGACCCGGCTATCAAATTGTATTTGACTTTCCAAATCTGTTAGGAAGAGGGGAGGTCCTGGAGGTAAGTGTCTGACTGACAGGCTCAAGAGGTCCTTTCCTCGCATTTTCCCAATTCACCGCATTACCTCGAGTGCTGCGTGCTAATGTGCAAAAACTGTCCATGTTGAGCAACTTCAACTTTTGCAACCTCTTCAAGGAAAAAAAACTAAGATGGGGGAAAACTCCACTCGAAGGCTTGGGAAACTTACAAGTGTTTTCCCATACCCTCATCACATGTGGCATTGCTGCTCACCTTATTTATTTATTTCCGAGCCCAAATGACACGAATTTGTCATCTCGGTACAGTCGCGAACATGCTGTTAGAGCCACCACCCCTTCTCCATCTGACACTCACATATGTCGCTGTTTGTTCAGCCACACCCACTGGAAAACGCTCGAGGGCGGTGGTTTGTTTGCTCAGCGGCTGAAAAGTTCAATTAGAAAAAAAGTTACAAAATGCCTACAATTAAGTTTCCCGTTTTTGTATGCAAATGGGCCGCCCTTTGTGTAATTGGAATTAAATATTCTTTTATACGACGACCTGCTAATGCCTCGGGCAGTTACAACCTGACCCAGTGGCCTAAATAATAGCTGAATGCTGAATCCAGAAACAAGTTAAGAGCTAATAAATATATTTTTAAGGTTAATGCCACACTCAACCGAATAATTCATTTTCTAATAACATCCCCCTTCAAAATAATTTAAATGGAAGTAAATGAGCGACGGCACGATGTCTGCCTGATTTTGCAATCATTTCCATTTTGGGTTATGATTTTTCAACAGCTTGTTGCTAATTTTTAATAAATATTGAACACGGGTTCAAGTACCCGACTTTCCCGGGGGTTGCCGGAGGCCTATGCAAATTTTCATAAAATAATTTTTGCACAAAGTGAAAGTCATTATTTGCTCGCCTCACGTGCGCGTTTATTGCTCCGAAGGAGAAAAACCGTGATGATGATGATTATCGCGACAGTTTTCCCATTACGGAGCGATTATGGTGATGGCATGTGAAGGACTCTGGGCTCCGATTTTATTTATTCTTAATTTAGTGGTCACGTGCGGGGAATGACTCCATTGTTATTCGGCTGACAGTACAGTCGCGTCGTTGCAGAATATTTTCTTTGGGTTTTTGGTTGCATATTTACGGGGATGTAAAGTAGACATCTAGTGTAAAAATTTGTTTATTGTTTAGTGTTTTTTGCGACGGTTAATGCGAGTTCTCCTTCCCAAGTGGTCTTTTCGTTCTCGTGTACCCCAACTCAATCTATTAAGACGGCTTTTCTCTGCATAATCAGCCTGTTGATAAGAGCGCAACAATAAATAAATTTTTTTAAGGAAACAATGTTACAAGGACTTACCTCAAATAGAATATTTGGAGGGGTGCTGGTCGTCAAAGAGGTATTACCCTTCAGCAGGATTGTGGATTATGTATTAGTTAATAAAATATTGAATCAGTGACAAACCTTCATGGTCTCCGTTTCCTGTCCCTCAGTCAGTATAAATCCAACGATTAAGAACAGCATCAGACAGCTCTGCATTCTGACCGATTCACTTGAGTGGCACATTGAGATTGATAGTTGTAAGTGTTCTGCAGCTCATAAAATACTGAGAATGCAGTTCAGATAGCGATACTATTCTATAATTCAGCCCATTCAAGTTGCTATTCCGATAAGCAGCCAGTGCCCCTCTTTTATTTCGTTTGCCTCTGCGAACAGTCCATTAACTAATGAAAGCGACTCGGATGCTTGCCATTTTTATTTGCACTTATTTACATTCACTCACATTTCCCTCTTTTTCGCATTTTAATTTCATTGAGTTTATACAACAATTTGGCCCAAATGCCGCAGTTACCCTTGCTCGAGGGGTGAGCCAAGCCCTCGTGCCCATGCAAAAATTCAAAGGACCCAGGATATGTGTCCTGAGACGCACTTGGCAGTGACATTTAATGGCATGTCAACGTCTGGCTTGCACGTTGGCATTTATTGATACGTCGCCCAGTTAACAAGTCGATAAAGTTTTACGGTCGGGGTCTCAGCTGCCGATAAATGGAAATGGAAATGCAATTGCCAGCCAGCGTCGTGGGGGAAAACAAAGCCTCGGAAGAGGGAACTACCTGGCGAACCCTTGCCCGGCCATATGGCTAATTTTCCAGCTTGCCTTCTAATTTCCCACTTTTGAAAACAAACTTTTCACAAAGCGCAGCCCAATGCAATTATCAAACTTCGGGGGGTTGTCGTTGGTAAATTGATTAGAAGGCTTTTCCTCTGCTCACTCTTTTGTGCTTCTGAAGCGGTCTTTGGGCCCTGCTAAAGTAGCTCAAATTGACTTTATAATTGCCCGGTGGGCGTGGCCATAACTGAATTACTCCGCCCAGTGGCCATTCAATGCTCCTGCGGTCGCCAGTTGGCGGAACTTTTGATTGACACGGGAATTGGCCGCTCGACAGATGTGCAGCATCTACGAAATAAAAACCACAAATAACTAATCGGTTGTTACAGAAAAAATTACAATAAATTCATTAAACATTAAAACTTAAATAAATACATATGCATTGGACCAAAATTAATTGTGTAACCCCAGATGATAATTAATATACTATATATGGAAGTAAAAAGCATCCAAGTGCTTCATGGGTTATCACTTCGTATTGCTGTTCAAGGTCAAACATTTTATTTACTTAGTTATCAGTTTACCATTTTAACAATTAGTTGTTAAATCCAAAGAACCGTAATTGATTTTAGTGCTCGTTCGAACGGTTTGTTGCTGAAAATCCCAGCTTTTCAATGTCACCCGTGTTTGCCAATTCCCACATCTATTTTGTGCGAGTGTGCGTTCGTATCTGTGAGCGGTAGATGTGGTTCAAGGTTAACAGAAATCGCCAAAAAGCCGATAATGAGCTGCACAAGCGAGTGTGTGTGTGTGTGTGGATGATTGTGCGACTTGGGGGACTGGCCCCCCAAAGTCTTGGATCTGGTTTTCGAGCAGGTGCCGTCGACAGCTGATAAACATCATGAATATTAATGCTCACATCATAATCGCCGATGGGGCATTAAATCAAATGCAGCCCGTCGAAGAGTCAAGTTCACTTTCACTCCATGACGCACATATCATCGCCGGCGATGATGATGAGCTGCCCCTTTTTCTTTTTCTCTCTCTGCGATTCGATTTATCGGCTGTGGCCAATTTTGGTCAGTGGCCCACTGGCTCTTGGCCACAACACCACAACACCTGCGCACCGCATACTAATGGCAATGGCAAATGGCAAGTGGAGCGGCTCTTTTCTGGGTTTCTGGCTATTTTCGGATCGCACGCAGCTGATGAATGGGTTGGCATCGATTCGGGGACCGATTTGGATGGGCTTCGCATGTGGACTATGGTTGGCTGGCTCTGGTTTTTGGCAGACATTGCATCACTGGGCCGCCAGTTGACCATTTTACCAGCCAGCTTGTTTCTGTTTCGACCACGTTTCCAGTGCACGCGAATGGCGGGTGAAAGCAAAGTGTGGCAATCAATGACGACATCAAGCCAGGTCCGCTGCACCAGCGGGTTTGACCAGCTGGTTAACAGCTGATTTAATGCGAGTTGATAAGGCGCTGCACTCGAAGAAAAGTGGGGTGTGTTGGCTAGCTCTGAAATAAATACCCTTTATAATCTATTTACTAAAACATTGGATAAAATGTAAACCAAATTACATATTGCAACCTCGATGAGTCATTGCCAGTGTAAAGCTATGGATTTTGCCCCCTCGTTTCGATTAAGCTCCACAGAAGGGTAAATATTCAGTAGTTTATTTAAATAGAAACATGTTTTTCAGACTTTTGTTAGCACATCCACATCCACTCGCATTCCGCACTCACTCACTCACACGCTTAACCAAATAGTTGATGGCTGTTAGGTAATTAGCAAAATATGTACAAATATCAGGGGTGGGGTAAACAGATCTGAAGCGTATCAGAACACAGAACGCAGAACAGCTGCCCCGCCCCCACTGGCCGCCCACCGCAATTAGGCGCCAATTGTGCTTCCCCGAAAATCAAATGAATGACGTCAAGGCAGCCTGGCCTGCGTCTGTTGGCTCTTTCCGGAGCTCTGCTGGATAACGCTCTCGATCCAGTCCGAGTACTCGGCCACGTTGGTGTACACCGCCGGCTTGCCCGCCATCCCGCACTGGGTGAACCCGTAGCTGACCACGCCGTAGGCCACCCAGCGGGAGTGCTGGCGGTCGAAGTACATCAGCGGTCCGCCGGAGTCCCCGGCGCACGTGTCCTTCGCGAACTCCCCGCCGGCGCAGATCTGCTTCGGACCGAGTCGAACACCGAATCCCTCGAGGATCTTGGTGCAGTTCTCGTTCGAGACGAACGGGATGCGCAGCTTCAGCTTAATAGGGCTGTGGATGTTGATGAAGTACTTGTTGACTGCAAAAAAAAAAAAAACATTTTTAGTATTCTAATTAATTCTTTTAAAACAAAAATCAATAAAAACTAAAATGGATTATAAACATGTTTACTGTAAAATAAAGCTGCTTCGAAAACTTAAACGTATAACCACAGACCCTCTATTGAATGAGTTTAATGACAGCCACACAAGAATCTGAGGGAAAACCCAAGTTTTGGCTTTGAAAAACTTCCACTATTTGACACTACTTTTGTTTGCCTTTTTTCAATCAAGCACGCATTGTTATTTATAATTAGGCAAATAATGAATATCACAATGTGGCTCTAGGGAGTAAACTTAGTTCCCAAGAACTGAGGTTCTTTAATAATTATATTATTATATACTCACATAAATCCGTGCGACCCCAGCCGGAAACGGAGAACATCTGACCCTCCCGCAAGGTCAGGGGCTCAGATTTGTTGGGCAGACAGATTGGCATGACAAAGTGGGTGAAGGACACGGGGTGTTTCAGCCGGATGATGGCAATGTCGTTGTGCTTGTAGTTGGAGACCTCCTTGTACTCGGGATGCACGTGGATCCTTTCGTAGCCAATATTCAGAGCGGCGTCTGCACAGCTCAAGTAGTTCGGCTCCTCGATGCAGTCGGGTTCTGTCTTCACATTGAACTCTCCCAAGCGAACATGCTTTCTAATGGAAGGGAGGATGGTTACAGCCTTATAAAGATCTGTCTTCCAACTTTACTCACAATCCCCGGCGATCACGCACTCCTTCGCCTTGAACACAATGAGCTGCTGTCAGGATGTGGCGGTCGTCTACCAGAGCTCCACTGCAGCCGTAGTCATCTAATGATATCGGGAAATGATTTCAAAGGTATTACAATTTATCAGTTGGGTATAAAAGTATTCCAATCTAAAAGATTTATCTTTAAATCTAATATTTTGTTTTATGTTCGGAGTATGCATTTTCAAATTCAAGACAGATAAAAATGAACTGATGTCCCAGGACTCACTTGAGTTGTAGACGAGCAAGGCGAGCCAGGGGAACTCGTCCAGCTCGGCGATCTCCCCGCCGTAGATCCTGTTGGTCACCTGCTTGCCGCACTCGTTCAGCAGATTGAATCCGGAGCTCGGCTCCACGGTTTGGATCCGGCGCTTCAGCTTCTTGCGCTTGAAGCGGGCAGTAACGTCCAGGAAGCGGCGGTACTCGAACTTGGAGAACTGCAGCACGGGGAAGAGGTAGTCCTGTCCGTTGGCCGGGCAGCAGACGAGCGACTCAAAGGCTCCCTCCGCTTCCGCCTCCTTCTCCGTTTCCTTTTCCGTTCCTGCTTCCGTTTCCTTTTCCGGGTTCCGCTGCTCCGCCTCGCACTGCACCTTCTTGAGGAAGTTCACCTTCTCCGCCGGCAGGTTGGTGGCGTTGCGCACCTGCAGGTACGCCGCGCACCTGCTGACCTCCAGGCAGACACCCCTCTTGGCCTCATTGGGGATCTCGCACTCCCGGAGGCCGGCGGCCAGGGCCAGGAGCCGGTATAGGCAGCCGTAGAACACCCATAGTCGGAGGACCGGGGGGAGCATGGGAGCGGTAAGATGCGGTCCGATGTGGGCTGGAGGCTGTAGGCTGGAGGCACAGACGCGATCGTTTGGGCAAGAAGAAGCGGCGGCGAAGGCTTACGAACCGAAACTGAATGGCGGCGGCGCAGTTTGTGTAAGCCTAAGCGGAGTGCCAAAAAACCGAAAACAGAAGACAGACCCGAAGACCCCGAAAAGTCGGAAGAGCCGAAGCACTGTATCGCTGAACCGCTGAAGAGTTGAAGAGCTCCGGATCTGCAAAGCTCCAGCCCGGCCAGGTGTCAACTAGTTAATTGGCCCGCCCCCGCCCCATTTGGGCGGCGGGAAACGAGTCCAAAAGTGCAGCAGTCGGCGGGTCGGCGTCGGCGATCGGCCGGATGGTCCGGTTATGAGCCATTGCATAACCCACTCAGCTGGCCAGCTGGTTTCACTTTCGTTGGAGGCGAGAGAGTGACTTGGCCAAAGCTCCGACCGAAAGGCATTGCGCACTTTTAGGAGGCGGTGGGCCAAAGCTCTGGCCGGCTAGGTTTTGGCCAAAGTCCGTGGCTCAAAACACCTGCCAATTCCGGAAGTTCTCTTGTGGTTTCTAACGCCGCAATTAAAGCGCGGTGGCAATGTCAGATTTGCCGGCGATTGTTCGAGGTTTCGTATGCGGCTGGGAAACCCAGAGGTTTCCGAAGCAGGTCAGTCACATTGATAGGGAGTCTACTCAAATCTCACAATTTAAGAATTCTTGATAGCTCTTGGTTTGTTTATTTGTTCTCTGTGGAGTGTTCATTATACCCTTGCAGAGCAAAAGGGTATTATAATTTCAGTCAGAATATATATATTCTATATATAGATATAGATATAGAATATATATATTCTATATATATTCTTGATCAGCATCACCATCTGAATCGAAATATGTATGTACGTCTGTCCGTCTGTCCGTCTGTCCGTCTGTCCGTCTGTCCATCTGTCCGTCTGTCCGTTTCCGCGCAAACTAGTCTCTCAGTTTTAAAGCTATCTTGATGAAACGGGCCGGATCGGCCGACTATATCGGATAGCTCCCATACGAGGGAATGAAATGAAAAATTCTCACACCGTTGTTTTTCATCAGATCAACTTGAATTCTTCAAGATGGCGTTCTCTAACTGTTATTGAATTTCGGATTAAATTTGATCAAAATCGGACAACTATATCGTATAGCTCCCATATGATCTATAGTCAAAAATATGGAAAATTAATAGAAAAATCGTCTTAGCTTCGATGTTGTCTAGCCTTTATGCGTTTTGTTCGACATATTTGATGACTGCAAGGGTATATAAGCTTCGGCTTGCCGAAGCTAGCTTCCTTTCTTGTTTTTATGTACTAGTATGTATTCCCTTAGTTTAATTACCTACGGTTTTAATAATGTCTAATTTTATTTTATTTATGTAGCAAATCCGTATTCTGAGTGGACGACCTAAAAAATTGTTATCGCTAATGGGAAAATGACAAAATTAATTACGACACAGATTTCGGATCAAGAAGTGTATTTGTTCTTATTTTTAATATACGTTTGATTTTAAGTTTCTGTTCATGATTGCCTCCTAAGCCCTCAAATTCCTCATGATCCAGTTCTCGTAATAAGTAACGTTTGTGTAGACAGCTGGCCAACCGATCTCCCCGCAGGAATGACCAAAGGACACCAAACCCTCCAGGACCCAAACATTTTGTTCGATGTTGAATGACATCAGAGGACCACCAGAATCTCCTCTGCAGGAGTCCGCCTGTTTATCTCCTCCGGCGCACATTTGACTGTTTGCCAAGTAATGTCTTGTCGAATATCGTTCTCTACACCAACCCCAATCCGCGTAGCTGATCCGCGTTTTAAGCTTTATGCGGCTGTTAAGTCTTTTACCCTGATCATCGGTATATTCTGTGGCTCCCCATCCTGCCACACTTAACTGGTCGCCGGGTTGCAACTGCTTCCTACCCACAGAAGAAGGCAAACAGGCAGGTCGGATGTAGGCCGTATAGGTAACCGATCCGGTCAGGCGGATTAGGCCAATGTCGTTCTCGCCACTTGAGTAGGAAAAGCGTTCGTGGATTTTAATCTCTTCGATTTCCATTCGCACAATGTTAACATCGTGGATTTCATGTACGCCCAATATTACGGAGACTCTGAGAAATTCAATTGACAAATGAGTTATAAATCTCGATTCCAGATCTTTGGGAATCCCTTCATAAACTTACGGTGATTTGTCCAGACAATGGGCTGCCGTCAAAACATACTTGGGGTTGATCAGATTCCCCGAACACCTTATCGCTTCTTCAAGGAACTCCAGCAAAACCATCCAGGAATACTCTCCTCGGACTGCAGGAACGCCTGTGATAATATTGGGTTTCACGCGATCTCCGCCGCAAACGGACAGATCGGAAAAGAAATCGGTGTCCATGGTGCAGCAGACATGGCGTGGGTTATGGGGGTCACACTTCGACTCCTCCAAGAACCTTCTCTCCGATGGCGTTCTGACTCTTCCCCGATTCCAGAAGGTCGTGCACTGGTTGATGTCCACACAGAACCCATCTCGTTGGTTGGGATTTAGGCACGGCTCCACTGCGATCGGGGTTTTTTAGAAGTAATTAGCAGCGATCCTGGAGGACCTCTTCGCCATTGGTACTCACGATTCCTCTGTTCTGCGTTGCAGAAGATTTGGAGGCACAGAAGAGCCACAGCGAATACCTTCATTGCTCCTGCGTTAGATCAATCTCGACTGAGCTCTATCAACTGAAGACGGACTTTTATACTATCTCGCTATCAGCTGCGAGCAGTAGCGGATTTACCATATAGGCAACATAGGCAGCTGCCTAGGGCGGCAAAATTTTAGGGGCGGCAAATTTCGACTGTTAACACTACATAAAATACTACTTTTTAATAGACACAAAAAATTTTTACTCTAAGGTCTTCAACTTTAACATATTGTTCAATATACTTCTTTTCGCTGCCGCGAACACGCGGAAATTCAAACGCACAATCATTATAACCATAATCATTATAAAATTACCGTGCGTTTGAATTTCCCGCGCGTTCGCGGTAGCCATCGAGTAGTTCGAGTAGTTCGACCTTTGCTGAAAAAAGCCAAATTTCATATTCCTAATGTGGAAATTCATGCAACCGTGTAACACAAGGTCAATAAAACAATGATATAAAGGTGAAAATTAGGCTGCAGTCTAGGGCGGCAAAACCAAAACTGCCTAGGGCGGCAAATTGTCTTAATCCGCCCCTGGCTGCGAGCCACATAAAAAGTCAGACCCCGTAATCTACAAGTAATAGGATGTTTAAAAGACCACGCGAATGCAACAACAATATGACAATTTTTACCGAAACAATACAAAAATAATGATTAGCAAATCAAATTGTATTCCAAATTATTTATATTCAAAATGATGGTATGTATGTCCAAGAATATATAAAAACATACAGATTAAACAAATTATGACCCATGAAAAAAATATACACACCTCATAAAAAAAAATTATGGGGACTTGTTTTTAAGTAATTCTTGAAAAAACCGTATTTTCGGTCTAAAAAAAAGAAATTATTTTTCGGTAAGAGCTTCAGTCATTGCGAAGCAAATCCAGCAAATTTCTTTGTGGGTCAACCTGAAATCACCTCAGGCAAAGATTCATTTTATAGACGGTTGCTGCAATAAAATAACACAATGTCGCAGTCATCGAAATGTATTTTAGTTATTTGTATTTGCAGAGTACGAATAAATATTGCGGGGTACTTAAAGTATCTAAATCTAGGTTAGGTGGTAACTAAACTAAGAACAGAAAGATCACAATTGATGGTTGGAGGCTCGGGGGAGTTCTATGCCCGCACGTTCTGCCGGATCCAGATGTCGTAGGCCGCGACGTTCGTGTAGACGCCGGGCCAGTCCTTCAGGCCGCACTTGTAGCCGAAGGAGACGATGCCCTCGAGGACCCAGGAGTCGCCGCGGAACCGCATCAGCGGTCCGCCGGAGTCGCCGTCGCAGCTGTCCTGCCGGAACTGTCCGCCGGCGCAGAGCTGGGTGGCCTCGACGGCGATCTTGATCTGGGAGAACCGCTGGCGGCACTTGGCGGGCTCCACGTAGTTGACCAGCACCTTCTGCTTGACGGGACTGCGGGCGGTCTGCAGGGTGCGGCCCCACCCGGCCACGGTGAACTGCTGGCCGGACTGGCGCGGCTCCACGCCCACGGACGAGGGCAGGCAGATGGGTCGCACGCTGTCCGAGTAGCGGACGTTGCGGTCCAGCCGGACGAGCCCGATGTCGTGCAGCTGGTTGGGGGACTTCTCGCTGTACTTCTCGTGCACGCGGACCTCCTCGAAGCCCAGCCGCTGGCTCTCCGGGGCGCAACTTCCTCCGCCGGCGGGGCAGTCGACGGCGGTGCGAGTGTCGTGTTCGCCCAATCGCACAGACACGCTGAAACACGGACAAGAAACAGAAATTAATTGGCATTTGGGCCATTAAACACTAGAATTAACCTGCTAATTGGTGCTCGCCCAGCGGCGAGATCGCGAGCGGCCCAAGACGTGAGTCACCAAAACAAGTTAACAAGCGGCAAAACACCTCGCATCTGGCTCGTTGGCCGTCTAATTAATATTCTTGAGATTAGCGAACTCGGGTCGGGGATCCCTTTAACCTCGTTTAGCGACTCAGCCGGAGAATGCAGGCGGACCCGAGGAATTATCGCACAAACAACCGTGAGTAAGCCACTTTCGCCCACCGATCAAACTGGATTCTCGAGTAGTCTTTAGATTCGTAATACCGAAACTTGATTCACCGGTCGAGTTCATTCATGAATCGACTGCCGAGATCTATAGTAATTCCCTGAGTGCTAACAAACATAAATATTACCATATCTGGCTATCAAGGTATCCCCAAGCCCCCGTTCTCGATAAGCGCTAATACACACACTAAATAAGTTTAAAAACCTCTTTCAGAATTTGATGCGTAGAAAAGGTCAAGTGGAAAATTCCCCTTTCTCTTTTTTGAAAGTGTTTAGAATAGCTTGCGGTTAGAAAACAGAAATCCCCTTTTAACTTAAGAGCAAAACAAAAACAAAAATGTTTCTATTCAATTCCAAACCTAAGTCCACCCTCAGACTCTTTCCCCCCTGAAATACTTACAGAGATCCGATATCCCGCTCGATCCTTCCGGTTAGACAGTGGGCAGCCGTGAGCACGTATCGCTGGTTGATGAGGGACCCCGCACAGCTGGTGGACAAGCCCCCCCTCCGGTTGCGGTACTCCAGCAGCACCATCCAGGGAAACTCGTTGAGGTCGGTGTCCACGCCGTCGTAGATCCGGTTCCTGATGGCCACGCCCCCGCAGGTGGGCGGCTGGGGAAGCAAGTTGGAGCCATCAGCCGTGGAAGCTCTCTGGACAGAGGTCCTGTCGCTGGCCCGCTGGTCGCCGAAGCTCCAGGGACGACTCTCCTGCCTGGGAAAGGCGAAGCTGCTCGGCCGCTCCTCCTCCCAATCTCCGCCGAAGCCGTCGTAGTCCGCGAAGGGAGGAGTCTGCCGCTGGTTCCTCTGGTAACCCGTGTCCTGGGTGCAGCACACAAAGGGCCGGTTGTCCACGCCCATTCCGCAGGCCGAGGACTTGATGAACTTCTTCTCCAGGTCGGTCAGCCTGGCCTGGTTGAGCACCGAGTACAGAGTCTGGCACTCGTTGATGTGCACACAGAGTCCAGGCCGCTGGTTGGGATTCAGGCATCGCGAATCTGCAGACGAGATAAGAACATTAAGATCTGGTTCTGCAGGGGATGCCCCGAAATGCGCGCGCCACTTGTGACATTCCTGCGGTCGAAGAAGGTGCTTAAGCCTCGACAGATTGATCATGACACACTCAAAAAAACTATTATTATTTAAGACCTCAAAATCAAAATGCATATAATATATGCTCGTAAATCATGCTCATGTTAAGTAACTAATTAATATTCCTTTATAAGTTTTTTCGAGCTGCGTTTTAAAAAAACAAATAAGACACACAACACGAATAATATTATATAAAATTGATTATTAAAAGAAAGAACTTCTTTTGTTTAATATCTTATTTGGTGGTTTCTATCCTATCAATTCGAATGCAGGCTCATCCTGACCACAAATCACTTGGCTGCGGGCAGTGCCCACTTTGAGTCTTCGTGAGTGCAATGTTCCCGGCCAACTGGCCAAACCGGCTCAATTAGAAGCGCACTTGACTTCCTCGCAATTGTGCGTTTTCCCCTTGATTTGGGGTTTTTTCAATGGTCAGTCCGCTAAACACTCACACTGGGCTTTGGCCTCGAGGGCACTCAGAACGCAAAGAAAAACCGCCGCGAACACTTTCATTTTTGCCAATACTTTGTGCTATATTCACTTCCGAGTTGGATCGCTTCCAGCTGACCCGATAAAACAGACTGTGAGATACCTGGAGTTGGGCCAAGCTTTTTATAGCCGCAACCCAGCTTCGTCGACTGAGATCTCTCGGTTCTCGATCGCAACTCTAGAGCGGGTTTATCAATAGAGCGCCTCTGTTCTCCGCTCTGCGGTTAGATTTTTCGCTAGTGGCTAGTACTATTGGCTTTATGAAGATGCGTGTCACTGGGTGTCACCGAAGGTTTTCCAGTTCCGAATCTATGAACTAGAAAACATATCTTTTGGGTGCAACGACCCAGAGAAGAGGAGACCTCAAGTCAATGACGTTGACGAGGAATTCCTGTCCACGTCACAACTAATTCACAAATAGGAAACAGTTCTTACAGAGTCATCGCTCTGGTATGCAATATATATGTTCTAAAAACTCTAATCGGTGTATTACGTGACAAGTTCCAGGGTGTTTGAATAAAATTAAGTGACTGCATCCCTTTGGGGGCTTGCCCGTTTGTCATGCATCATCTGCAAGAGACCCGCACTCGTAAATGATATATCGCAACTATGTCAGCAAAATCCACCGGCAGCACCTTCTCTGTCATTCCCCGGGGCGCCAGGTGATTTACCAGCAATCGAGGTTCATATGTAAACCAGTTCCTAATGCGAAGAAGATTCTGAAAAATTTCCATAAGCAGATGAAATAAAATGAAAACACAGAAAAACATACAAGTTTGCATTTAATATTAAGAGAGTATTAGGGAACTCCCTGGTTGTGTAATGAAAAAGCATACATATGATGTAACTGGGAAGAATAAGAATTGTATAGCTTAAAAAAGGAAAACATACCTTTTAATATATTTGTTCTTATACATACTTTGTATCTTGAAAATGAGCCATGAATTTCCCTAACTGTTTTAGAGGCCTATCTCAAAACAACAATCTCTGCGGTATTTAAGAGTCAGTTGGTGCCCGGAAATAACCACGGGATACATTTCGGACATTTGATACTTTTATCCATTTGATTTCAAAGGGCAAAAACCACGGCAAACCCTTTAATTTCCTGACATTTCCCTTTCGTTTGCGGGTTGTTAACGAGATCAACATGTTACCGCAAAAAGGGTTGAGACTTTGAAACGCAGCACGCGGAAAATGTCAGCGCCAGATAAACGGACTCTTTGTGTTTTGGAAAATGAGCCGCGGGTTCCAGGGTCGGTGTTTCCTGCTTTGCGAGGTCTAATTAGGCGTAGAATATGTAAAAACGCAGCATCCTGCTGTTAAATAGAAAACACAGATTCACAACCTGACTTTAAAAGACTTTGCTAAAGCGCTCGGACTTTGCCAAATCTAGAACAATTATATTTCTCTAACTTTGGTAATTGGGTTTGTAGTTACACTCACGCCAGTCTAATTTTTCAAGAAAAAAAATTCCAGATTTAATTGCCAGAAGAGCATACAAGTGATTTTCTTTCGCGAATTTTTGTTAATGGTCTTTTGCAAAAAATTAAACACCATTGGTAAGCCAAGCTTATATTTAAGAAAACAATTATAAATTTTTATAGGTTTAGCATACATAAAAAAAGCTGTTAAATCAATTGTTCCTGCAAAAAAGCCGACAAACTATTATGTACTTTCAATTTCACCCAAAAACATAAAAAATAAAAAAACTTGTGACAGCGGTGGGATTCGAACCCACGCCCTTTCGGACTGGTGCCTAAAACCAGCGCCTTAGACCGCTCGGCCACGCTGCCGGCAGTTCGACGAGAACGAACGCTCTACTTGAGGGTTGGCTCGTGAGTCACATCCATTTAGCAACAACTACATTCATGGCATCTGTACTTTACATTTCCCTCTTGGTTTATTTTTTTGCAGGCAAAGCTAAATTTAAATTTAGTTATTTTTATTTTTTTCAGGATCTTCAATTATTTAAAAATAATTGTATTAATAATAGCAAAGTACACATTCTTTTGAATGCGAAAATTCCGTTTACTTGATGCATAATTTTGGGGTGGTTGCCGAGCAGTGTTGCCGACTCGCGCTCAAAAAAAGTAGTAGGAAGAAAAGTATGAAGTTAAGCGTAGTCAATTATTGGGCGCCTTGTTTAATTTAAAGCAAAATTTGGTTGCTTTCTCAAACATTGAAGTTCATATTTTAAAGAGCTAAACCAAGCTTTAAAAGACTTTCCATTTGCGTATTTTACTATTTTTTCTATCGGTAGTAAAATCCGCAAAGGGACTATAACAATTGCAAACGCTTTACGAGCGTCATAGCCATCGAAGCGATTCTAATTCATTGACAAACGCATTTTGATTTTGCGATAATGAGAGTTGGGGTACAATAGTGGTTCGGGACACCTTTGACTCAACTTCCCCTGGCCTTTGTCATTGACCCCCTTCTGAGGTCCCGCGGTCGCTCGCACCCTGTTTTGTTGTTGCTTTACGATCTCAGCATTTTGCAAGGTTTGCAAAAGACCTAAAAAATATACCCTGTTGTTCAATTTTTCTATACACTATTATTGGGCAATACGACTTTCACAACTTTTCTTAATAAATGCATATTGAATAATGAATCAAGGGTATTGGATATTCCTTGTTGCATTTCTCAGCTTGGTCCTCGTTTTTTATAGAGAACGGTAGCAGAAGCTAAAGATTTTATGGCCTTTTTATGCGGCCATAGTTTCGCTTTCGCACTGGCCTTTTACGAGCGTTTTATAACTTGTTTACATTAGGCGAGTGAGCTGCCGAACACCACCGAAATGTCACACAACGGAAGTGCTGGGAATCTTTTATGCAAAAGTCTGCCAAATCGCTGGCAGGCTGCATAAAAATCGTCGTAAAGCGATTACTTCAATCGGAACCATCGCAGCTGGCATTTACTATATGGCATGGAGAGGGATCCGAGATTGGAGCAGAGCACCTGAGTGTTTCCCCAAGCATTTCTGTGGAGAATTGGGGATTAAATGGTTTACATATTGAGCAAGCTAGGATCCTTTCAAATCTACCAATCCATTAATCCAGCCTCACCTCTAAGTCCTTCGAGTTTTTTTTAGAAAACCTTTAATTGGATTCTAGATCTCAAGATGACTGTTTTATAAAAGTGTATTCAAACAAATACAAGGTTAAAAGTTTAACAAAATCTGCGTTTCAAATTGAAGTAACTGCAACGAATTGATTTGCCAGACAAGCGCTTTCTAGTTTTTTTAATTTTATATCAGTTTAACGATGACAGCACATTTTGTAGTACGTTTTGCCGTTTTACTTCTGCTTGCCGAACAAATAAAGACAAAGGTATTTACATCAAGTAAAAACATGGCAGAAATAACTGAGAAGAAAGATGGGAGAACGGAAAAACAGTTTGTAAGCATTTAAATCAAATTATCTATGAAGTATAAAAATGCCAATTTTCCCTAAGGAGAATACCCGCAACAATCACAAAAATAAGGTTTTCAATATACAACCTGCCGATAACGCCCACGTAAGATTTTCTTACCGCCTTCCGAATGTAAAACCCGAACGAATTTCCACTGGAAGTAAGAAAATGGAACACACTAGAAATAAGAAAAATGAGCCCGAGTATTTTCTCAATTTCGTGTTTAACAACTACCGAAATCCCAAAGAAACCGTGGATCCAAAGACCCTCTCCAAAAAAGTGCAAATGCGAAGAGCAGGCAGGCGATTACTGCGGAATGGAATTCCCAATCCCTATAAGTACTTTCCGCTTAAAGGTGAAGATATGTAGATAATATATATCAGTATCTTTTGGTTTGTTTACATCCACCACAAAGCTGATTTGTTTACTCACTGATGATAAAAATAACTTTGCACCGCGTATACTTTCCAACAGCAATTAGCACAACTAATCTGATCGATGAGAACCAATTTACCCACCAATTAATATAATGTATTTAAATTCATAATTTTCTATTTAACGAAATGAAGATTGTACTCGGACCTTAATATCAAATAAATAAATAATAATAAATCTTGTTAAATCATAATTATGGTATTTAATCAAACACCAAACACTTTTCAGATTACGTTCCAGACCTACGAGACACCAAAGTCCGTCTCTTATCATTCTGGGTACTTTCCTTTTTTGACCACCTAGACAATAGGAAACAACTGTTAAAAGTCAAATAGGGTTTAAAATGGATCGATCACATAGTCGGTCTATGATAAGAACTTAGATAAAAAAAGTTTATACTTTTGCTATATAAGGCATGCAAAATGGAAATATCTTTAGTTCGATATCCAAACATGAAAATTATAGTAGTCGGTGTGTTGTTGGTGGTCTCCCTTGTGGGTCAACACCAAACCAGTGCCAAAAGTGTGCTGAGTACTTTGGTGAGATCATATTTGGAAACTCTACGAGTCAGTCACTAAATAATTGCATTTAAGGCCAATGAAATAGGTCAGGATGCCTCAGAGTTCGGCCACGAATTGGGGGAGGAAGGCACTCAGTATGGTCAGGAGGCCGCCAATAGTGCAACTAAATATGGTCAGGCAGCAGTATGTATCTAAACATCTTCTTATAATAAATAAGAGACAAATAAAATTATTTACCATTTAGGACAATGCCTCATCCAGTTGGGAACTTGGACTAGACGGAAGCATTTTTGGTCACGAGCTGGGAAACGAAGGCGATCAATTCGGACAGGAGGTTTCCAACAGCGCCATCAACTTTGGACACCAAGTCTCCCAGGAAGCGGTAAGTAAAATATAAAGATAGTTTTTAGTTATTTGAGAGGATTTTCTTCATTACACAGGAGAGTGCAGCCAGCGCAGAACTTAGTTCCCTGAAGAACCAATCCACAGTAAGTAAAAACACATAACAATCGAGAAGTGTTAAATGTTAAAAATCTTAAACCGTTTAGAAATCCATTTCAAAGAGGGATGTCGCCGCTGACAACGAAATTCCTTCGGTCACCTGTGCTTGCACCTGTTCCAGTGATAAGTCTGCCTCCAAAGTTGCACAAACCATCGCGGGCTCAGCCGCAAATGCTGCTCACGATGTTGCAGGAGCCGCTGCAGGTGCAGCTGGAACTATTGCCCATGATGTGGGTAGTGCTGCTGGAAATGTGGCCTCGAGTGTGGCCGGTGCTGCTGGAAGTGTTGCAGGTAGTGCTGCAAGTGCTGCCGGAACTATTGCTCATGATGCCGCCAGTGCGGCTGGAAGTGTTGCAAGCGATGCTGGAAGTGTGGCTGGGGATGCAGCAAATGCCGCTGGTAGTGTTGCAAGTGCTGCTGGAACAGTTGCTCATGATGCTGCGGGTGCAGCTTCAAGCGTAGCAAGTGAAGCCGGAAAAGACGCTGGAAGTGTTGCAAGTGCTGCTGGAAGTGTAGCCGGAGATGCAGCAAATGCTGCCAGCAATGTTGCCGGAGATGCAGCAAGTGCAGCTGGAAAGGTAGCTGGAAACGTTGCAAGTGCTGCTGGAAATGTTGCTGGAGACGCAGCAAATGCTGCCAGCAATGTTGCCGGTGATGCAGCAAGTGCTGCTGGAAATGTTGCAAGTGCTGCAGGAAATGTTGCCGGAGATGCAGCAAGTGCTGCTGGAAACGTAGCTGGAAGTGTTGCAAGTGCTGCTGGAAATGTTGCCGGAGATGCAGCAAGTGCTGCTGGAAACGTAGCTGGAAGTGTTGCAAATGCTGCTGGTAATGCTGCTGGAGACGCAGCAAATGCCGCCAGCAATATAGCAGGAGATGCGGCGAATGCTGCTGGAAACATAGCTGGAAGTGTTGCAGGTGCTGCTGGAAATGTTGCACATGACGCCGGCGATATTGCCGGAGACATTGGCAGTGCTGCTGGACATATTGCCGGAGACATTGGCCAAGCAGCAGGCAACATTGCAGGAGGTGCAGCAAATGCTGCAGGCAACATTTTCCACGCAATATTTTAGAGTTCCATTACGCCTTCATATTTATAAAATATAATAAATGAGCGAGCAAATTAATGAATCAGCAGTTTGAAATTTAGTTAGGCACTAGCTCTTTAGATAATCTAATTTCATTATTTGTTTAGACTGCCGAACATTATGGCGTAATTATTTTTGGCCAGCCGATATTAGAGCCCACTCAAAACTGTCTTATTGGTAGATTGTATAACATTGGAGATAACGTAAGGAATACCCTGAAGTTAAGTGAACAAACTGATCAATCAGAATCAAACTTTACCGCCATTAGCCACTCAAGCGTGATTTGTTTTTATTTGCGGCGTCAAAGAAGTCAGTAACTCCCACATAAGCTTTTCGATAAGAATGGCCTATAAATGCAGTGCGTTTTTCAGAAGTAACTCAGTAATTCCTTGGTTTTACAACAAGCAAAACATGCAGTCTTTTAAAATCGCAACCCTTTTTGCCATCGTTCTGTTGGCCCAGAACGCCAAAGCTGGATCCTTGAGCTTCGGATCCCTGATGGGGGATGTGTCCCAAGTGGCAGTTGCTGGGGAGAAGGTCATCCACCAGCTGGAAAACGCCGTAGCCAGTTCCCAATCAGATTTTGTGGAACCCAGCACCCTAAATATCCTCAGCGATATGGGAAACGCCTTGGGAGATCTGGCTGTAAGGAAATACTTCGCTCTTAGGAATCTAAAATGCTTCAATATTTATCTCAATCGAATAGAACGCCATCACCAGTCTCAGATTCGAGGATGATTACATGCAACCCGAGGCTACCAATCTTCTTGGCGACGTTCTGGGTGGAGTGGGCACTGGTCTTGGAGATTTGGCAGTAAGTTATAGATCATAATTTTTTTAGGAATTTATAGGATTTCTATTCCCTATTCTTCAGAATGCCATAACCAGTCTCAGTGTGCAAATGAAGACCCCTACCCAATCCCGTAGTATTTCGGTAAGTTATAATATGAATTATTTAGAATTCTAATATTCTTCTGCACATTTTTTAGTCCGATGGTGCTTCTATCATTGCCGAAGGAGGGGTAAGTTTTTAATAGAAGTATATCCTTTTATTTAATAACATAAAATACCTATTTCTCAGGCCATAAGTGCCAAGACAATTGCCGCAGCTGCCGATGCCGCTGCCCCCTATATAAAGCAGCTTAATAATGGCCTGGGCGATCTGGCTGTAAGTGGCCCTCAAAAACAGTTGCTAATCTGATGGTTAATGAAACGAATTTCCCCCTGCAGAATGCCATCACCAGCCTCTGAGGAACTTTGAAGCAGTTCAATTAACAAATAAATATTCAATCGCTCAAAAGCTTAGTGAGTGCCTCCTTTGTGTTCCAATTTAGGCAGAGTCCATCAACAAGTTTGGCACCAATTAGTTGGGTTGTTTTGAAATCCAAGAACTGTAAACAAGGTCGGGTTCCCAGTTCCCAGTCGAGAATGCGTGCATCTGCTCGTAGCTTGAGATCCCTGGATCCCCAAAGAGGGGTTATATCCAGAATGAAAAGGGGTCAAATGATACGTGAATCGAAGTCGGAACACGTGATTGCCGACAACATTAGGGGATCAAGTTTCCAAAAAACAAAAACCACCGGGAGAAGGAGGAAGCGCCGCACACACATGCCGGTTTTTGAATAATTTTTATTATGACAAGTAGGTTGCCTTTGTTCCTCGAGCCTCCGGAATTAGGTCATCACTCGGGGGGAGTGGGAACTAGTCGGGATGGGGGACAAGGTATGGGGGTCTCCACTCCGGAAGACAAACTCTGGGCTCTGTTTCCCGAGGCCTGCCATTAAGTTGCTTTATCGAGCGGCAAATTTCGATTCTTCCTCCTCCGCTCGCACACGATCTCCCTTTCCCGAGGAAAAGTCGTGCCAGCCGAGACCTGTAATTATGAAAATTAACAAACATTTTGGTAATTAATTTCGGCAACCCTTTGGTCGCCTCCCGGACTCAAATCGCCCATAATCCCGCATCAATTAAAATGCACAGGCCGTTGTCCCCACCCACAATTCATGACTGACTGAGGTGCGTGTGATGGCTGGATAAATATTATAATAGTCGAAAATAGAGGGGTGTAGTTGTAGGGAAACCGGAGAACTTAACACCCTTCATAACACTTAATTGAAAAACCTTACAATATGGGTTTCAAAAGATCACAATCTATTTGGCTTGATCTGTAAACCTGTGACAAAAACAAAGCTTTTGTCAATTATTTTCGATGACATAACCGAAATACCTGCCCTCCATAGGGTATAGCCGTGACAATAGAAAACGTTTTAATAATTTGCGACACCCTTTGTCCATCAGTTGGCCATCAGCGTTTGGGCCATTAATTGGCGGTTTGACAGCTGAAGAGCTCAGCGCGGAATGCACGGATCGCAGTTCCCAGTTGTGTGGGTGTGATTCGGTAATTGAATCACACAACTCGCTTCTCCCAAGCTCCGATATAAGTAAATGGGATATATGCAGTGGATCGGGGTAGTAGTGGAGTGGAGGGGTCTGCATGCAGGACGGGCAATTGTGCAAATCGAGTGGCTCGCCAACCGGTTTCGGCCTGTTTCTATGTTAGTGGTCAAGGTCTAAGGAGCAGCGGTCCTCGGGACGGACGGACTCCTCTGAGGAGCGGCCAAATGAATGCCTCCAAAGCGGAATAAACAATAACAGCAGGCCCAGAGAAGCGCTGCAGAAGGCCAGGCGAAAATAAAACCACAACGAGCGGAAAACAGAACCAAAAGGAGTCACGAGAATTGCATAAACAATGTATGTACAAAGTCTGTCAGAGTACGTACATAAATCGAGTTATATATAGCTGGGGGAGCGAGTCGGTTGAAAGTCGCGAGGGTGCCTCACGTTGACAGTTGAAAATATTCGCAGACTTTAAAGTTGTTACCAGCAGTTGATTTCCTTTAAAACAATAGTTGCTTTAACGGACGCTCTCTTGAGCGGACAACTTCACTGTTCGTGAATTCGTGTGGTTTCTTTGATTAGCGGAAAATAAAAAGGGCATCAACTTGTTAATTAATTAATGCATTAATTTAAATATATAATCTTAGTTTATTAAGGAAATTGATATACAATTCACACAGTCTCTGGCCACCTCACTGGTAACCTTGAAATGATAATCCCCCAAGATCAAGATTGAACCACCCTGGTTCTCGACGCAAGGGGCACGCACATGCATCATGCAACATGCAACAGCGGCGTGATTGCAACGATGCAAAAAAAGCAGCCAGCAGCAAGCAGCAGTATGCACCGAAGTGGCATCTAAACAGGCATATGTACGTGCCTCGTTAAAAACTGCATTTACTCGGGGCTGCCTTGGTGTTTGTGTGTCAAAAAGGGTTGCCAAACCACTTTTATGGCCTTATGTACACGATACACAATGCACACAGGACAGGAGAAATCCCTATAATGAACATTTTCCAGCCGCAGAACTGGTTTTCGATTACGTCGACGCGACTCTGCTCCTCTCGTCCCTGGTTGAAACTTGGCAGGAGAAGCCAAAGGTTGTCTTATCGACACTTGACCAAATGTAAAACCAAACGCGGGTCTTCAGAGGAGATACGTATCGGAGATTTGGCTAACTATCGATGCGCATCCACGATTTTGGGGAACCAACTGCAGCACTTATCGCCACAGTTCAGTCTGTCAACTGTCACTCCCGAAAAAAAACCTAAACCCATTGTCTATAATTTGCGACACTTCACACGCACATCAGCAACAGCTTCATTAAAATTAATTTATGCTTAGGCACACATAGAAACGACACACTAAGAAAAAAGTCCTAGCTTTAAGAATATTTTATTACCTTTATATTGAATCAGATATAATAAAGATGTAGAACATGTTTCCTTTTCTTCATTAGGTTTTCTTTAATAAATTAATTTGTAAATATTTTTGTAGTGTAGAAACACACAGAAACTCTTTTAGAACAAAAACCCCAAAGGGGCAGGGGATCGACATCATTAAGCTCGTATCAGCTTACAATGTTTTTCCTCGCCGCGGCAGCCGAAAAATAGTGCACAAATTAAATTAAATGAAGTGAGTGTGAAAATGCTGGAGGTGGAAAAGGGGCGGGCAGTGGCTCAAATGGAAAGCCGCAGAGTGCAAACGTTGAACAACCAACGCGGACTGGTCAAAAGGAAACACGCTCAAGTGATTTCCGTGCCACCAGCGGACCCCCGTCCACCATATACATAGTCACCTGTACTTCTCTTCTGTACCCTCGTGTCTGCCTGTTGATGGTGAATCAAGATAAGCAAATTGTTGCCGAAAAATAGAGGCACAAAGGAAGCGATTTGGACGTTTTAATGATGATAGAGCATGACACTGAATAAATGAAAATGAAGTGTGGAAAAAATTCATTTAAATTGCAGGGTAAACAGAACCCGTCAGCAAAAGTAACAGTTACGCGATGGTAAAAACAGTTTTTGTGGGAGAAATGGGGAGTGAGTAACTCTTGATTAATGATCGCAAGGATTATTTTGGTTTATTCAGAAGACACATCCCATGACAGGCGGAATTGTGCTCACCGGAAAACTGAATGGTTCTGTCAGGAAGCGAATCAACAAGGTGGATCTGTTGATTAAAATTAGCCTCTGGTATGGTTAAAACAATTTAAATAAAGTTATACAAGGGGTAGATCTTCAGAAAGATGTGCCAAAAAAGATCCTATACACATGTCTTCACACAATTCATACAGACACATGCATTTTCATCTGCTCCTGATGTTCGTCATAAACAAAAGTTTCGATAATTATGATAATTCTGTTTTATGCTCCGTTTCTCCCATATTCTACTCACCCTTCCCATATTTTTTGGTCGTCTGCCTGTCAAATCGTCGTTGTCATAAAAATATATGTCCAAAAATGAGTTAACGTCAAGTGTGTGCAAATGGCAATATACTTGTGTATGTAAACATATTTGTATGCATAAGTACACAGAACAAAAACTCTTAAATAAATATAAAATATTTAATATAAAATTTTATAATGATTAACAGATTACAGATCCGAAATAATGATCACAGAAAACAATATCCTTCCGATTTTGAGAGAATATATCTTAGTATTTATTGCAGTGCACCATACCCACAATCATATATGTATATAGAAATATGTATTTACTATGTTGGGAATGCATCTTTCTTGTCTTTTTTTTTTTTGTGGACGCTCAACCTGTTTCACCTGAGCAAGCTTCCCCAAAACCCCAGAAACACAAAAAATAAAAACTGAAGAGTAGACGGTGGGCAGGGTTCATTATCATCATGGTTATTATAATTATAAGTTGGTGTCTGCCTTTTTGGGGTTTCCTTTGTGCCCTTATAAAACCAGGATAACAAGAACAAGTGCAGTTAGCACTGGTTAAAACTGATTTAATTTATAATTTTTTGCCGGGAGACAGGGCTTCCTGTTAGCCAGCTCTTCATGAGTGTGTCTGCCCGCCGACTTCGGACCCTTCTAAGCTGCGATTCTTAATGGGCAACGAGGCGTCTCAAGGTCTTCTCTGTCAACTGATAAAGAGATAATGTTGCAAAAAAACGCGGGGAAGAAATTATAAGAGAAGGAGGCACAAAAAGTGAAGTAGCAACTGTCTGACTGGCACACACATTCAGAAAAATACAGCCATGATATCATCGGAGAAACAGAAAGTAGCAAAGACGACTGCGGCAAACTGAAGCGAACCGCAGAAGCTAAACATGGGTGCCAGAGGGGGCTAAAGGGGTTAATACACAGCAAAAAAATGTAATATGAATTGGTACTTTATAAATTCTTGAAGATAAGGAATCCAGTTTTATGTTCCCATTAGATTTAATACAAAAAAAAGTAGTATAAGAACACACTTTTGGCAGCAATCTGCATCTTGTTTTCTTCAGTGTACATACTCCAACTGGCAAGCGAAAGAGACAGCGAAAGACTCACTGCCATCCCCACTCTTCGCACACAGACACACCGGCAAGTTCAAGTTTGTGAGGCAGGATCCCATTCAAGGCCCCAACCAGCAGACAGCGAACAAGAGGAAGAACAATGGGTGAGGGGCACTGCAAGGGAAAAAAATCGCAAACAAGTTTCGCTTTTATTTAGTGCCCAACAACAGCGCCAACTTGCAGATTCCCCCTCACACAGACGCAGAATGCCACATACGCGCCTTATATAGCGAGGCAACCGGCTATGTACCCAACTTTGTTCCGAACTTTTGCGATCCGATGCGAGCGAATGTTCCAGCTTTACGTGCCGCAGCATAGAAATGGAGCAGGGCTACAGCTGGGTTCAAAAAAATAGTGTTCACTCCATAGAAAGTGTTACTAACTAACT